GCCCATGCTGCCGGGCGTCGAGGTCTTGCCCGACAGCGGATCCAGGAGGAGATTCACGGTGCGCTGGCTGGCCGCGCCTTTCGGCCTGCCTGTCCCTCTGGCCAGCTCTCAGGAGGGGGTCGCAAAGCACTCGCTGCAATGCGGCCCTGGGTCTGGATGGAAGCACGCCCGGTCAGATTGCAGGGTGGTTACAAGCAGGCAGCTGGGCCGCTGCTCCCCACTGGCCAGCTCTCAGGAGGGGGTCGCAAAGCACTCGCTGCAATGCGGCCCTGGGTCTGGATGGAAGCACGCCCGGTCAGATTGCAGGGTGGTTACAAGCAGCCACCGGTGTGAGCCAGGGTGACACATGGTGGCATCAGCTGGCAGGTGCAGCTCTCTCCTCCGCTGACTGCTCTGCCCTGGCTCCAAGGGCTGTAAGGAAGGGGCGGCTCCGATTTCTCTTTGAGCCAGGCCGGACCCTGAGCTCCCCTTCCGGGCAGTCCCCAGGTCTCAGTAGCAAAGCCCTGGCTGTACCTAGGGATGGAATAGTGAATCCTAGAATCAGAATCCTAGGGCCGGAAGAGACCTCAGGAATCATCGAGTCCAGCCCCCGATTAACCCGTAAGAAAAGCTTATCGGTTAATGCTATCGACTGCCCGCATTTCCCTCCCCACCCCTGCCAGTGCATTTTTTAGCAGGCTGGCTCAGTCCTGGCTCACGCAGGGTCCGGGACCTACCCCTGCTGCGGCTCTGCATTTAAAGTATATTAGGAGCCGGGCGGACAGGCAGCCCAGCTCAGTTCCGGCTTGCGCCAGGTCCGGGAGCTCAGACCGCCCCAGACAGGGGCTTCTGCCCCTCCCCCCCGCAAAGGGAGCAGGTTTTTAAACTGACTCCGCTCGTGGACCAGCTCCCGCCTGGCATCCTCCAATAGAGGCAGCAGTGTGGGGTGACAGGGGGCTCCCTGGGAGTGGGGCTGGAGCGCACTGGCTGTAACGTGGCCGGCGAGCCAGGAACCAGGGTGGTGTCAGCAATGCCTGGGGGTCGCTTCAGAGAGGGTGGCCACAGGGCCCCCTGCACCCTGCTTTACAGAGAAGCGGGGAGTCAGGTCTCAGATCTGCAGCTCCCAGGAGTCCCCGGGCGTGTGCCCTGCCCCAGCTCTCCCGGGAGCCTGACAGCAGGCCTGCTGCTCCCGTGGGCGCCCCTGGAGCTGCCAGGCTCGTGGCCAGCCGGGGGGGGG